AAAAAAACAGCCACCTTCAACTCCACTGGGAAAACCTGGCTCCGACATTTGGGCCGACCCCTGCTACTGCACAAAGTGAAGGTTGATATGCCACATCAGGTAAGACTGAATTCTTTTTTTTTCTGTTAGCATGCAATGTTATGAGCTAGCCGCTGCACATGAGGAGGAAAAAAAAAAAATCTTGCAGCTCTTCGCTTTGTCTCGTCGCTGCACCGTGTTTACGTCCAAAGACCACATGGCATTTTCACATTGCACATTCATTTCGCTATTTCGGCCCCGGACTCCTGCACTCCTGCCGGTTATGTTTTGTGTGTGTGTGGTGTTATTGTTATAGGCGGGTGCTTCCCTCCACATTCCACATGTGTATGTCCGCCTGCCTGCAGCAGGGCCAGTGCGCAAAAGCCCTGTAAATCCAAAAACGCCGATAGGGGGGGAAGAGAGGAAGAAAAAAAAAAAAAAAACGCAATGGAGGTTTGCTGCTGTAAATGTACATGCATTTAGTGTGTAAACAGACAGGGCAGATGGATGCAGTGGTGTGGTGGGTTTTTTGTGTGTGTGAAATGTGCCTTGTTTCCTGGAGGTTGTCACTGTCTGCTGTGGAGGTGACTGCGGGGAAGACAAAGGGACAGATTAGCATGGAGCAGAGTGGAATGGACACAGTTAGACATCATGTTGTGGTAGACAGCTACAGTGTGTGTGTGTGTGTGGGGGGGGAAGTTGCACTCCTGTGTCCTGCATGGGTGTATGTGCAGATAATAGCAGCTTTGAAGTTGTCAGAGGGCTGCATCCAGCAATGAAGTTGTTGTTGCTGTTGTTTTGGAGTCTTTCCTCATCCTCGGTCGCAGTTCCCCGTCATTACTGTGTAATTTCACTTTAATGCTTGAGAGCAAATGATCAGTCTTGCTTAAAATTGGACCTGATGATCTTATTGAAGAGTACCGTTATCTTAAAGTGATGGATTTCTAGTCATTGTTCCACTCGTATTGTATGATTTTACACAATGAGATATGTTTTGTTTCCCCCCCACCTGCAATTTCTAGGATTTTCTGCTGCACTGTTGTGATTTTGGAACCGAACTGGATTCAAACAGCCTGTTACAGCTTCTACCTTTTGGAACATTTGATGCCAAGGCAGCCGTGATATTAGAAAGGTGTTTTTTTCTTTCTCTCTCTTGTTATTTTGCCAGATTATAGTTTTGTTGTACGTTGTGATCTTACTGCTGCTTTCCTGCCTTGTCAGTAAACACCCCACGCTGTCCCTCGCAATAACATAACTCACAGACCACTTACCTCCCAGGGCTGTTAGATGGAAACCTTGTGTCTCCAACACTGATTGTTGCGGATCATATATATTATCCGCCGAATCAATGCTGAACTTCTCACAGTTCTATGAACGTGGAAAATTCTTGAAGTTGAGAGGTGTTGGCATAAAAGGGACAATCACTCCCGTCATTTTGCTGTGTTGATTCCATCATATAAAGGTTCCTCCCTCCCACTATTACCTCAGTGGGATACGGAGGGCCTTTTCCTGTAATGAGGTGCTTAGTGGAGCACATTGTGCTCGAGAGGTTTGCACTCTGCTGAGTTACAGGCAGGTTGTAAAATGATAACAGATGCATGGGGTCTTCAAGGTGCAGCGCACTATTTTTGAAATGTAAGCTAAATCCTGTTAGTTTGGAATGCACACACACAGATTTGCACAATTACCTACACAAGTTTTAGGCAGCTTTCCACTGCAGGAACTTGGGGCAGGCGCGAGGTGACGCGAACATTTACAGGAACGGCCCCCTAATCGGCCTCTCTGTTTCCACCGCGGTGTAGGATTCAGCAGCTTTGACCGTGGCGTTCGCTTCGAGTGCACCAAAACGACGACAAATACAAGTTACTGGACATCATTTCAGTTTGGAAATAGACGGTTTGACATGTTAGCCTAAATGTTGGGTTTGATGTTGTTGATGGCGATGTGAGAGAGGACAGAAAATGGCTTTTGTTATCTTCTTAGTAACCAGTCAGCATTTGTGTTCTCTTTAAGTTCAAACAGTGTAAATCAAGACCCGCAGAGCAGTTTTTCAAGGGCTCTCAGAAGTGCCTACCCCAGAGTAAGTACTTTTTATCCCCTAAAAACGGCCCTGAAAGAAGTTCTACAGGGTGGTTCTTGCACTTGGAACATGCACAAAGGCTTAGGCCCGTAAAAACGGCTCGCAAGTTCCCGCAGTGGAAAATGATCTTTTGTTGCTATGTGTTAGATTTTCCCAGTGACATTGTGCAGTTCACAGAGTCTAAAGTCGGCACTGCTTCTTATTTAAAGTCACTTCTGGTGCCCTTATATATATATTTTTGCACTGCCTCCTTTGCTGCAGTAACACTGTAAATATCCCTCCTGTGGGATTTCAATGAAATGAATGAAAATTTAACTGTGAGAAGTTTTGAAACCCACTCGCACGCTGGCGTTGCGAAGAGCCGGTTCTCGTCTCACTAAAGAGTTTTGGCTGAGTGCAGACGACAGCTTGCGGAGGGAACTTTAACAGACAGGTTTACTTTTGCTGTGCCAAATTACTCAGAATTAATTTGAAACAGCTAAAATATCCCGTTAATTGCCGTTTTCCTAGTGCCGTGTTTTTATTTTTTTCCACGCTGCTCTTTGCAAATCAGAAGGAGATGAGATTAGTCAGTTTCTGAGCAAACCAGAGGAGTTTTTTTTTTTTACAATGCCAGCACTCGAGAGTCACTCATTGCTGCAGCTAAATACTTATTTATTTTTTTGGATTTTCACACTTTGCATATGTAGGAGGAAAGCTTGTGGCGCTGCAGAGCCTGGCTGTCGTAAAGGAGACCGCAACAGTAGCAGAAAACACACCAGACTGGAGTTTGATCACCTCATTTAGGCTCATACCAGTTCATTAAAACATGATCAGATCGGCTCTGCTAGCGAGTTTAGGGATGTCTCTGGTAGAATCATCCATCAAGGCTTTCTAGCTAAACATAATCTACGCCGTACAATTACAGATATGTGGACAAATTTGAAGTTGAGCAACAGAAGCAATGTTCTCACTCGCGAGAAAAAAGGTGCAAGTGATCGCCACAGTATTTTGACTCTGCAGTTCTCTCAAGCTAAGCACTCTGTCGACTTTCCTCTAACATTGTACCTGTCGCCTGCTACACCGAGGTGGGCATACTAACCAGCCTTCATTTGCATGTTTCAAGCAAAACACATCACTCCCCGTAGAGGGTAAAGGTTTTTTTAGGCTCTACTTAACACCCATCAGGTGTTCTCGGTGGCACAATGCGAACGCTTTCAGGAGCCAGTCGGAGGTTGAGTGACTGTTGTGGAGAATAAATCAGAAATAGGGTTGAGGAAAACATACTTCTGCTTGCTATGTGGCATTCACATGTAACGGATTAGTTCTTTTTTTTTTTTTTTAAATATTCCTTTGTTCCCTTAGCCACAGTCTCTTTCTCTCCTCCTCCCTCCTTAATGTGAATGTACTAAACAGGGGCTAATGGATTCCTTATGAGAGGTAATTGTGTAGCTACAACATAAATGCAGTAGAGGTTCTGTTGTTGTGGCTGGTGTGATTAGGTCTTGTTTGAAGCCCCTGAGGGGCTCGGTGAGATAAACGTCAATAGCGGCTCACCTCACAGTTTAAGGTCACAGGCTACCATGCAAATCATACAAACAGAATTGAACGTTCTCAGGGTTCTGCATCTGAATGACTCATAGTGGTAAACAGTGGATCGCGAGGCTTGTGCACCATGCTGTGGTCTGGGGTAGCTTAGCATAACACTACAGGGGTCAGAGGTTCAATTTCCACAAGGCTAAACTGCAGTCGCTGTTGGAAATAAAATGCTATTTGGATAATAGAGTCCCTATCAAATTGCCTTTCTGTTTTAGGAGCACAGAGCTTCACTTTGTTTCTTGTTGAAATTGAAGTGCTTCTTCAGGAACTATTTTATTTAGTTTTCTATCATACAGGGTGGGTTAAATGTAGAATACGTGTGTGATATGTCGGCTTTAAACAAACGCTTATTACTCGTTCCAGGATAGCGCTCATCCACGTGACGTACCCGGGGGGCAGTGAAAGATTAAAATACATGGATGCAGTATTTCCCAGTCCTTTCCATAATCAATCGAGCTCGATCGATACAAATTGAAGTGGCTGTGAGTCTACTGAATATTTGGAATATTTGCCATGACGACGGAGCTGTCCCTCCGGGCGCAGGTTTAAAACCAGTCATTTAATGTTCTTCAGCATCCATTTACCTGTCACACTGGCTTCAGATGAAACGCAGGCCCACCTTTTTTTTTTTTAATAACAGCTTAAACGCTTAAAAGGAGACTGAAATCATCAGCCTGTCTTTGCAGAGGTAACTTAGACAGCGGATCTGGATTGGCGTTGAGGTGACAAAACATATGCCAAGGCCTAAAATAGTAAAAGTACGGCACGGTCCTGGTACAAGAAACATATCTTATTGCAATGGGCCGATCTTTGCCTCCGTAAATACAAGAAAAAAAAGCGCACTTAATAAGCTCAGACAAAATGCTGAAAGTGAGTAAAGACTGGAGAAGGCATGCAACAAGATCCCTAAAGTATTAAAAGCGAGTTTCTTGTTTTTTGCAGAATCAAGCCCCACATCTACTCCTCCGGCCACGCAAACAATGTCTAGAGCTTCGTTACTGGCTTCACATTTTATGCTTGGAATGCTGATGGGGCTGAAACATGTGCGTATGTTATTTAAAAGCGCAGTAAAGCACTCGTGTCAGCGATTTGAGTTTAGCCTGTTGCTGTTCTCCAGAAGAGGTTAAAAAAAAGGTTTTCTGTGGACGTCACATATGTTTTTTTTTGTCACCTTGGTCTCCCATTGAGACGTATTTCAAACCTCGAGCCGAAACCCCAACATTTCCCGAACACAGGCCCCCCCCCGAACAAGAACGAATCAAAGTCTGCTCGTTTCCTCAAACGCACGCCGACTTTAATTCGGCTCAGTTAGAACCGAACTTTACGGCGTCTCCCTAAGCAGCCTTTTGTCACCGTCGCCGCCTTCTGTGTGGATGATTAGACTCACTTTCCGTTGATTTAAACTTTTTAATTAGACTGATGT